CCTGCCCCCTGCTGGGCATTAATACATAGATGATGTGCTGCCCGGACCTCTGACGGATATCTATCTGTCAAAGCACTTAGTACTTTCAGCTAACTCATTTTGATGTATCATATAATGTTCAATCTTCTATATGGAGTTCTGTGAATATAAGACATTTATGCCTTATTATTTAGAGTTCAGGTATGAGAATGATGTTTGATGGATTGAAATCAGGATAATAATCATGATAATGGTCATACTTGTATGGAACTACACTGTTAACAATTTGGAACTTTCTCTTTATAACAAATTAGCCCTACTGTGCTTTTTTTTTTACAGACATAACTAGAAAAATAATATGAAGAAAATGTGTAAAATCTATTGAAAGATATAAGAATATAAAATATTCATACATGCTAGCTATGCTCCCCCTTCATAATTACTCTGCTTCTGGAAAGGAAAATCATTGAGATCTTGTCCATTGTGTCCTAGAGTGTGGATGGGATAAGGTAGGGCTGACAACAAGGGGTGGGCTGGGGTGGGGCTCAGGCCTAAACATGCATGATTATATAGCCCAACTGAGCTCGTGTGGCTGTAGATCCCAGTTTCAGGCTCTGGAGAAACTTGAAATCTGGCTTTCCCTTTGGTCTTCTTCCCCTACACTCCCAACCTGTCCTTCCTCCCAGGTTATTTTTTGGATAAAGTTCAAATTGGATTCTAGAATTCTGAGGCAACCCACTTCTGCCCAGGACACCCCTTACTTGAAGATCTCTGCTTTCAAGCTTTTTTCCTTCCTGGTGATGTTAGTGCCTAATACCATCATACTTTTACATGCCCAAAAAACTATTTTAACTTCTTTTTAAAACCAGAAGGAAAAAAATGGACACACTCCAACCTGGATTACCTTATTCCAATGCAGTTATAAAATAAATACATTTTTTTTAATGATGTTTTACTTTTTTAATGGAGGAAGGGGTCCCAAAGGCAAAGTGTCTAGGACCCATGAAAGTCATCACTAACCCTGAGTGACTTCCCACCTTGAAAAGCAAGACTGCATGCAACCACCTGGTAGAGTTAACCAAGATCGTCACAGCTAGCTTCAGGGCTGGGTTGAATGTGCCAACTTCTTGCTCATCGAAGTTTTTTAAATGCAGCTGTAGGCAAGGAATGAAGCATCATGGAAAAACTCCTGGGTGGATCTGAGAAGCCACAGAAGGCCTCTCTGTAGGTATGTGCCCCAAAGCCTAGAGGAGGAGCCCATACACAATTTAACAAGGGAATTCAGCCTCTCTGAGAGGCCAGACCTGGCCTGTGACTCTGCATTCCAGCAACAACCTGCATGATTTTGTCATGCAAACCTACATATAACTGGAAATCCTCTTTGAAATCCTTTGTTTAAGCATTAATTGCTTTGGTTCCTCTGAAGCCCCTCTCCACTTAAAAAAAAAGGGGGGGGGGCATTAGCTATGAACCATTTTGAAGATTAAACATTCAAATGCATCTGGCTGCCGATGGGTGCGCCTAGGATGGCACCTGAATCCATAGGAAACATTATCCTGAAAGGAACTGTTTATTACACTCCATGGAAACTTTTACTTCCCACAAATGATTGCTTGTTTTGATCCTTTAATGAAAGTTGCTGCCAGCAACTATAACTTTGGCATGGGATGGGTTTATTCCACTTGTGGCCATCAAGGCAGGCTGATGCCCTTAAAAAAAAAAACTTTAAAAAATATATTTTATTTATGTATTTATTTATTTTCAGAGAGGAAGGGAGAGGGATAGAGAGTTAGAAACATCGACCAGTTGCCTCCTGCACACGCCCTACTGAGGATGTGCCCACAACCAAGGTACATGCCCTTGACTCGAATCTGAGGCCGGTGGCTCAGGGGATTCTATCCACTGAGCCAAACTGGCCAGGGCAGGCTGATGACCTTTTGGTAAGAGTTGAAGTGTCTAAGTAGCAAAACAGGCAAGTGTTTTCTTGTTGTTTCTATACCCAGAAAAATAACAGACTTTCCCCGCCCCTCCGTCTTTTTCTTAAATCCTAATTAGGGAGCCCTGCGATCTGCAACAGAAAGTCAACAGTTTCCCAACTTCCAGAGACACCATGCTAAGAAATCAGATGCCCTTCTTCAGAGTCTGGGGTGGGAGGGCACATACTACCTACAAAGAGCCCTTCTGTGGATTCTCAGATCCACCTGGGACTTTTTCCATGGTGCTTCATTCCTTGCCTAGAGCTGGGATAGAATGTGGCCTGGGTGGGTGCAGGATGGGCCCTTGCCTCTCTCTCAGCCTGAAGCCCTTCCAATGGGCGTCCCATGGCCAAACAGAATGATTTCTTGGGCCTGAAATGTACAAGATGGAACTTGTTGACTTTGCCAAAATTTTCCCAGACTGGTAGTCTCTAAGTGGCAGGAATGTGTTGGGAGATGGATTCCTTTAAACTAAATGTGACAGGAAACTTGCTGTAAGTGGGTTATCAAATGGAAAATGAGGGGTTGAGGCACCAACCTAGACTGGGATCATCCTGTGAGATCTAAGTATTTCCACAAGACTTCCTTTTTAAACATTTTAAGTGCCGATGGATTTAAAAAGCATAACTAACAGTAGGGAAAGGAAATTACATGCCCAGGCACAAGCCCAATCCTGTCTTTCTGAGCAACGTGCTCTCCTCCAAAAACACTACTTAATGGAAGCACAGTAGAGTAGAATAATTTCTAACTTCTTGGATGTTTGGGCCGCTTCACCAGGACTAAGGGATGAGCAGTCACTCAAGTTCTTAATTTCTAAAGTGTGCTAATTTCCATCTATAGTTCTAAGGGGGCTGCTTTGTGTTTTTTTTCATAGTTAATGCTCTGTTGGACTGATCCCAGGCCATTTTCTGATGAAAAAAAAAAAAATGCAATTACAAAATCATTTTTCTACTTCTTTGAGTTTTTTCTTTTCACTTCATTTAAATGATGTCACATCCACCTAAAACTAGTCCAATGATGATGAGGTGTAACACACAACCACAAGCAAGGACAGTAATAGAAAACCACGGCATAGACCTCATCTTATTCTAATGGCTCATTAAACACCTTGGTCTTTGATACAAAGAAAGGAATAGAGAAGCGAAATGTTTTTCTCTCTATTTTCTATTTTAATAATAAATGTCCCTATACTCTGCTAAGGTATCACAAGCTTGTTTTCTCTTTATAGCTATTACTCCAATCTCTGTACCACTTTAATATAAAACAACAACAAAATTTATTTTTAAAACCAAAAGGAAAAATGGCCAAAGTGTAAGAAAACCACCCTCTAGCTATTGATCGGTAGACACAGAGGGCCAAGCAGTTTGACAGCAAAGAAAACCAGCGCCCTGGGGTTGATTGCCTCCAAGCTTTTGTCTCTAGGCTAGCAATGGGTTGGTCCACTTGCAATATTTGGCATCTTAGGATTCTCAGAGCTTGGGAGTGGGGAAGCTTGGGCACTAGCTTTGTGATTATGGTGCTCGTTTACAGCCATGTTTGGTTAAACCAATAACAACCAATGAGCCAAACCAGGCAAACACAGGTTTCTTTGGGTCAGGCATCACTAAAGAATGTGGTCAGTTCTTAGGTGGGATTGGTTTCACTAAAATAAGGAGTTTCTATCGAAGCTTAAATCAGAACTGTCCATGTTAGCTTTCCCCATGTAAACTCTGCTCAGATTGTTGGGGTGTTTTGAAGGGGCTGAGAGTAGAGCAGGCCCCTCTGATCCTCTGAAGGGGCTGGCCGCCTGCGTTAGTTCAGTTGTGACTTAGCTCTGTGCCTTAGCTCTAAGAGGCGGGAAGGAACTATTCTGCTTTTCAAATGAAACTCTTTATGAAATTTCACTACATTTTTATGGACAGAACAAATCCAACCAGTAGGCTACTGATGAACCGCTTCTCAAAAGAAGTGGTGTGCCAGAGTCTTTGCTTATACTTCAGAAAATGAAGTAGTAATTTGTCAGTTAGTAGTTGATGTGGTCCAGTGGGACTCCTCAGCCGGTAATTCTCGCCCCCAAAATGATTTTGGCGGCCCAAATTGGCCAGTTAAAGTATGAACACACACAATTTTTTGTTTGTTTGCTTTTTGTTCTACATTTGACACTAGGAAATTCCTGGATTAATTATATCATTGCAGATATTTCACGTTGCTTTAGATTAGGCAAGTAGTAATTTTAGAATGTGATAAACAACAATGTTCGCCAGTGCCTTCAGCTTAACCAGAACCTGGCAGCACAGAGGCCTGGGCAGCACATCAGCTCTTAGTGCTCAGGGACTGCTTCCTGAAGGCTCCCCTTACCCCACTTCACCTCTACTGTCACGGGAGAGATGGAGAGGGAGTGGGGAGAATGAGGGAGAACGAGAGAGAGGTTGAGAGACAAGAAATCATAAACTCTAATATTCTAAATAAAACAACTTAACACAAGCCATTTTATAACACTGAAAATAACACAAAAAGTTCTTGCAATAGAGCCCAGTGTGTCTCAATTAGCCTTTTTCTTCTGTTTACCACTGATGAATCTTTCTTGTTGATCCTTTAAAAGACTTATATCCTAAGCATTATGCATAAATCAAAGTCATCACTTATGATCAATTGATCACTTCCATGAGAGCACTTGAAATTCAACAACTTTATCTTATTTTCTCCCACAAACATTTAAGTTCTACATGGCAAGTCTCAAATCAAAGTCTCAGGCAAAGGGAGAAAAAAATCAAAGTCTTCCTGTTACTTACCTTGTTTGAGATTTCGAAGGAATGGGGAACAACTTTGAATAAATCCCCCCTCTCTCTTCCCCTGATGTTGTCTTCTAGATGTTTGCAGTTCCCACTTTTTTTTATCCAGGCCCAGCCAAGGTGTGTTAAAGCTGAGTGATCCTTCAGAAATGTTCACTTCTTCTCCCCCCTTGTTTCTTTCAGTCCTTTGCTCCCAGACAAGTCCTGACAAAGGTGTGTCGTGGTTTACAGCGTTACTCCACCCTCCCAATTATCTGACACTAGCGGGATTTAAAAAAAAAAAAATCTGCCTCCAGGAATCAAACTTTATAGGCGGCAGAGATTTTCTCCTACCTGTTTAGGAGGATTAACCATTTCTGGGCCCAATGTGGGGAAATGGAACTAAGGTCAGTGTAAAGGAAATTCCCTTGTTTTACTTCTTACCTTTTTAAGCCAGAGAACTGCCACAACTTGGTATTCCCCTTCCTCACTGCCATGGCATATGCAAAATCCCAATATGCATGATCCGTGGTGTAACTGGGCATGTAGTGGCCTGTGGTCAAGTTGTCTAAGCCCCAGAAGAGCTGTGAAGTTGGCAGGATTGATGTTCGAGACCTTTGACCTCTTTCCTCCCATTCTGACCCAAGCCAGGTCAAGTCCACCTGGAAGAAATAGTAGGTGAACTAAGTTAGAATAAGATATTAGTGACAGAAAATGTGAAGCAATTGGTGGAATGGGGATTCATATTTTTAAAATAAGGCAACCTGAAGTAGTGATGCTGACTCCAGAGAATGACATGTTAGTCACAGGATTTAGGCATGTAGCCACCTAAATAATGGAGAGGGATACTGTTGGGGAGGGTTAAGGATCTTCTTGTTCCTCAAATCAGCAACTGCATAGTCTCCATACACCTGGGTGGACTCCCAGGGGCCCTGCCACTTTGGGTTCATTCCGTGGAACCCTTGGCTTCCCTCGAGGGCCGGTTTGCACCAATCTGGATAATTTTTATGGTTATCTGAAGAGCTTCTGGCTTTCCAGGACCCCTAAAGACTAGATGAGACTCTTGGTGTAGTAACATGGGAAGTCTGAACTTAGAACTCACTCAGGCTTCTTTGGAGCCGTAGCATCTTCTTGGAATCCAATGTCAGTTTTGGATTCCCAATTCTGAGGCATCATTCTAAGATCCTGGAGGAGAGCCATGGAATTCCTTTAGCAGAACACCAATGTATGTCTGCACCCTGCTATGTGCATTCATGCATTGACTGGTTTTAGCACTACTTGTGGGGTTCTCTCTCCAATGCTCCCAATATTCCAATGTCCCAGAATGTGACACTATTGGGTTCTTGCTTTTTGGGATGTTCCTGCCTTCCCCAAATAAATACTTACTCAACATGTCTGCTGTCAGTTTCAGAGGAGAAGAGCACTGGAAAATCTGGAAGACAGACAGCATGAAATTGACACAACCCTGCATCATTCATTCACTTATTTATTAATTCATAAATTGAACAAAAATATGTTCGCTCATGCTTGGAACCAGATATTGAACTATATGCTGAGAGTTCAGTGGTGAAGCATAGACATGTCCTGTCATTAGGGAGTTCACGGCCTAGTGGAGTAAGATAGGCCTTAAACAATGGGATACTCTATAAGACTGCCATAACATAAATTCTGGTGGATTAAACAACAGGAATAATTTTTTCTCTTAGTTCTGGAGGTGGGAAGTCCAAGATTAAAATGTCAGCGGGTTTGGTTTCTCCTGAGGCCTCTCTCCTTGGCTTGCCAATCGCTATCTTCTTGCTGGGTCCTCACACGACCGTGTGTGTGTGTGTGTGTGTGTGTGTGTGTGTGTGTGTGTGTGTGTGTCTTTATATATTCACTGGTGTTTCTCTTTATATATCCTAATCTCCTCTTCTTATAAGGACACCAGTCAAATTGGTTAAGACCCATCTTAACAGCCTCATTTTAACCTAATTACTTTTTTAAGGGCCATGTCCCTAAACACTATCACATTCTAAGGTACTGACGGTTGGCCTTTAATATTTGAATCTGGGGGGACATAATTTACAACAAATTATGTACACAACACATATTATGTACCAATATACATTCAAAATATGATAGTTACTATGAAGAAAGAATTATGAATACTATGAGAGAGCAAAAGAGGAGACATAATCTTGAGGAGGGATGTAAGAAAAAGCCCTGCTAAGAAAGTGACATGACTAGTAAACAGATAGATGAAGGTTGAATAGAGATTACACAGGTGAAAGGAGGGATTCTAGAACTTAAATAGGGAAAATAGTGTTTGAGAAGATTCTGAAGTGGAAGAAGCCTGGTCAGTTTAGGAACAGTGATGACAATACATTTGGAAGAGAAGCTGGAGAGAGGCAGGAGCTAGATCACACATAGTCTCAAAAACCATGGTAGGAAGGTGGTTTTGGTATTTAGTATAAGAATATTTGGCAAATATTCTTAAAAAACATTTTTTTAAAATATATTTTATTGATTTTACACAGAGAGAAATTGAGAAGGACAGAGAGTTAGAAACATCGATGAGAGAGAAATTGAGAAGGACAGAGAGTTAGAAACATCGATGAGAGAGAAACATTGACCAGCCACCTTTTGCACACCCTCCACAGCGGAGGTACATGCCCTTGACCGGAATCGAACCCGGGACCTTTCAGTCCGCAGACCAACGCTCTATCCACTGAGCCAAACTGGCAAATATTCTTAAATTGGCATTTTGGAACAACTCTATATAGGCACTGTATCAATTTTTGGATGGTTAAGAAAGAAGAGAGCCTGATGAATGTGGCTCAGTGGTTGAGCATCAACCTATGAACCATGAAGTCATAATTCCATTTCCCATCAGGGCACATGCCCTGGTTGCAGGCTTGATCCCCAGTGGGGGGCATACAGGAGGCAGCCAATCAAAGATTCTTTCTCATCATTGATGTTTCTACCTCTCTCCCTTCCTCTCTTAAATCAATAAAAACATATTAAAAACAAAAAAAAAGAGAGATTGGAACTAATGTTTTCTAAAGTCTATTATGTGTCAGACATTTTACATATATTATCTTATTTAATCCCTACAGCAACCCTAAGAGGTATGTATTATCTTTATTTTATAGGTGAGAAAAGTGGAATTCAGAGAAACTGAGTAACTGGGCCAAAGATCTTACATCTAATAAATGGCTCCAGAGAGGGAAGATGGACTGGAAAAGGAGCTAAAGATTGATCATGCTTACATGATGAAGCCGCCATTAAAATGCCAACAGTGTGGGGTTCAGAGAGCTCCCAGGTTGGTGAACATGTTGATAGACTGGGAGGGTGAAACACCCCAACTCCATGAGGCTTGAAGCTCCTGTGCTCAGCACCCTCCAAGATCTCACCCTATGTACCTCTTCATCTGTATCCTTTATTTTATCCTCTAATAAACTGGTAAATGTAAGTCAGCGTTCCCCTGAGTTCTGTGAACTGTTTAAGCAAATAGTTGAATCCAAGGGGGAGCGGGTTATGGGAACTTCCAATGTATGGCCCAATAAGACAGAAGTTGTGGGTAACCTGGGGTCCTACCACTTGTGATTGGCATCTAAAGTACCATGGGACTGAGCTTTTAACCAGAGGGATCTGACACTATTACCAGGTAGATAGTGTCTGAAAAGTTAAATGTAGTACACCTAGCTAGTGTCATGAAGAATTACTTGGTGTCACATTGTGGGAACCCATCATGTCTGGTGTCAGAAGTATTGTGAGTATGGTATTAGTGTGAGAGTAAAGAAAGACACAGGAGGAGGACTAGAAGATGTTTTCTATACAGTGCAGAGCCTATATTCCACTTAACCTTTGAACCCTCATTTCTCACTGTCTGTGTATTATTAAGATTTAAGTTTGCCCTCAGCTTGAACTGAAAGGAGACAGGCAATATCAAAACAGAACTAGATGAGGGAAAATGATAACTTAACTAAGAACTAAAACCATCTGAACAATGGAGATATTTTCAATCCACAGCATTATGGTGTTGGTATACTTTACAGATGATTTTAGATAAAAATCTGTATTAGATGCTGGCAACCATAACCCGATCAATTATTCAATTCATATAACTACTACATACAACCAACCATTGGAATTAGCATAGCTGTTTTTCTCCTCCTGTTGGATTCCTGTAATAACTAATATTCTAGTATATACTATATGTACTGGTTATATTCAATACATATTATATTCTAGTTACTCAAGTTTCATAGTTTATTGTACTTGGCAAAATTATTTCCAATAAGACATGGTACATGTGGTGAAAGAAACCTTATGTTCATTTAACATTCATATGTTAAGTTTCTACCATATGCTGGTACTAGGGAATTGTCTTTTATGTTTCAAATTAGCCAGAAAGCAACAAAATTCTTATTAAAATTAAGAACAGAGTCAGATTTAGGAGAAAGCAATGACTAAGACACCGGAAAGGTGTTTCTTGTTCCATTTGGACTTGTTTAATGAGTCACATTTAATCAATTTTTAATGAAGCAGAAAGAAAATTTCCATAAGAGGCAACCAGGAAAATATTCATCCTCCCAAAATTATCTATTGACTTTTAAGTTGGAGAGAAAAGATGTCTATTTACGTGTAGCCCAGACTGACACCTGGTACCAGACGCTCATTGCTTGCTGAGCACATGAGTACAGGTATACCCCATTTTCTGTGGCTGATGAGTTTCTGAAAAACTGGATGTGTAAATCTGGTTTTTGGTGACTAGGATGGATGTTTTTGTCAAATGATTATTCATTACCTCATTAACCTTTGTGAACACAGATTTTTCTATATATGTTTGGTTTAAAGGAATAAACCCTGTAGATGGATTTCTCCCTATTCCGTGACCTTCTACTATTAGATTATTATTATAGCGATATGTTTTTATCTAATGTTCATCAAGGGATCCTTGATGAGCTTTGAGACACATTTGCCTTGTATTCCTAAGAGACAATAAGAAGTGAAGTTCATTAAAGGAGAAAATAGTGCTTGCTTTGCCAGCACATACACTAAAATTGGAATAATACAATTTTAAATACAAAAGATAATCATGGCCCCTGCACAAGGAGAACATTCAAATTCATAAGCATTTCATTTAAAAAAGGAGGAAATGATTTTATAATTAATGAAATAATTCCATTACCTACAATAGTTAATTCAGCTTTTTTGTTGGGGGAAAAAAAAATCACTGACTTTTAAAAAAAAAGTTGAATTCCTATATATTAAAATAAAGAGAATATGATTATTTGTTGCAGATTGCTACAACATTTCTAAGACTAGAAGCCCCTATTTCCTCCTAGCTTTCTCTTTGGTTAGCATGTGCTCCTGGATAATAAGCAATTATAACAATAATATATGTCACAGTTATGGAGCATTTGGCTTTTGGAAGGCTGCAGCTGAGAAATAGTACCAAATCCTGCCCTTCATACATGGGTATAAGGTATTCATCAACTTTTCTTGTTTATAATGGTTCTTAAATTGTTTCTGCTGCCTTTATGATAATAACAATGCACTCTGGTTTCCTTTCTTCCATTTCCAATTTCAAATCTATTCATTTATTTATCCATTCAAAATTCATAGATATTTGTTGAATGAATAAACAAATATCCATTGACTGTCTACCATGAACATGACACTGCGTGTATAGATACAATTGAGGATGAAATGTACAACCTGCCTTCAAGGAATTAACAATGTAAAAAAAAAAAAAGACAGATGAGTGTATTTACCACATATACAAAAAAAAAAAAAAATACAATATAAGAAAGAATGTAATCCATTAGAGATTTAGGAACCACGTAAAGCCACTTCCAGCTGTGGATATCAGCCAATGCTTCATGAAAGAGGTGTCATGTGAGTTGGGCTTTAAAAGATGGATAGTAGTAAGAAGCTGAAGATGGAGCTGGAATTTCAAGGAGGGAGTCCAGCATGAAGGCACAGGTACAGGAGAAAGTAAGGCCCAAGTGGAGGATGATGAAACAGTGAAAAAAGAGTAGATGGGGAGAAGCTGGAAGTGTAGAATGTACCAGTTGGATGTGGGAAATCTGAAATGCCAGCCTGAGAAGTGTCTATATCATTGTGTGGGTGAAGGGGAATTCTGGGAAGACAAAAAAATAAATGATGAGAGTTGGGTTGGACAAAGATTAATTTGGTGACAATGTAGAGAGTGGACCAGAAAAGAGACAAAGAGACTGATCAGGACAACAGTTTTGGTAAAAGATAATACAGGCCTAAAGTTCAGGAAGATAAGAATGAAAAAGAAAGGAACCGAGGTGGGCAATATCAATGAGGTTGAACAGAGACAAGGCATTCAGTGATTGCTGTTAGGATGAGAGCAAGGATATGGCCTAGGATGACGCTGAAAAAAATTTTTTTTTCTTTTGCACCATTTTGGCTGTTTATTTCAAGTTTATAGAGAAGCTTAAACATCTGTGGAAAAACACCAAAGGCTTATTTTCCCCCCCTCATGTCTTTTTAAGCAATAAATACACAGTATTTAACTTTGTACACCTGATAAAAGGAAAAATGCATTGTAGAAAGGATCAGGAATGAAACAGAAACATCGGGCAGTAAATCAATCACAGAATAGAAAAGTCAGCAGTCCCACAAAACTCAGCCCGTATCACTGGAGGGAAGATGGGGACCTACAACCTTGGAACCTTCCCTAGCACCTTAGAAATAAGTTGGAGGTCATGGTTCTTTCCCTTGAAATTTTCCAAGCTAACATCTGACCACATTTCCCTCTTCTTCCCTGCCAAGTTAACTTCCTCAAAGGTCCACCTGTTAAAACTTACATTTCAGTGGAGGATTGAAAAAATCCCCATCCGGCTGGTGTGCTCAGTGGTTGGGTGTCAACCCATGACCAAGAGATCACCATTTGGATTCCTAGTCCAGGCACATGCTCGAGTTGCTGGCTTGATCCCCAGTGGGGTGCATGCAGGAGACAGCTTATTAATGTTCTTCTCTTATCAATGTTTCTAGCTCTCTATTTCTCTCCCTTTCTCTTTCTAAAAATCAATAAAAATGTATTTTTAAAATTCCCCTTGGTTTGGTCTCTTCCCTCTAGTAGGCAGTTAGACAGGCATGAACAAAGCAAGACAATAGGTCAGGCATGAATGCCACCAGAGAAGAAAATCCCAGGTACCTAGCAATGGGTAGCCAGGGAGAGCAAATATTGAAAATATGTTTGATAAGTTAGCACCTTCTTTCCCTAGCTAGTCATGCAGGTCAGACCCTTTCCTGACCTTTTCTCCACTGGCATGTAGCTAGTCATGTAGGTAGAGCACCTTAGAGAAGAAACAAGGGGCTGAAGAAAAGCCCCACATGATTTCCATACAAGGACAGGTGACAGTGGGACAAGCCCATGGGTCAAATTAAAGAAGGAAGCAGTTAGATTTCCTCCCCTCTCCCCCGCCCAAGGAGCCCTTGTCAATACCCCAGGGCCACTCTTTGGCTAAAATCTTCTTTCAAGTGTAACTTTTGCTTTGCTTACTGAATAAACTTTGTTTTATAGTTTGAGTCTTGGATCTGAATTCTTTCTTAGCCAGAACTCAAGCACCAAGGTTGCTGAACAGAGATGCAGTCTGACTCTACTGGTCTAACTCCTGCTGCTGCTTCGCCGCCAACATTCCCCAGTCCCATTTTGTCCTGTGTTCATTACCTGATGTATTACAAATGTGAGGTTTAAAAAAATGGTTTATGCTATGTCTTGAAAAATTTGGATATGAAAACAAAGGATATTAGAATATGTTATCTGTAGGTGATACATTTATTGGTTTAAAACCGCTGTGTGTTTTTTAACATGCCCTACTAAATTATCTATAATTTGTTTCTAGCAATTTAACATTTATAGTTTAGTTCTGTCATAATACAGCAAGGAGCAAAGAAAAATATGTGAAGTGTTAGTCTTACTAGTTGTTACTCTTTTGTAATCAGAGAAAAGAAATAATAGTTCTGAGGTAAATCACCCTATCTTGTATGTGCATCTTTCCTAGAGGACAAATCTCAAATATTGCAACAAGTAAAACATGTAATGATTTCTTAATATTCAGTAAAGATGCTGCTGAAGAAAAACAGATCTGCATACTGAACTAGTCTCAAATGAGTTGACAGAGATTACTACTAATATTATCACCATCAATAATTTCTACCACAGGGGTGGTAATAAAAAGGAGTCAGAATAGTTAGAACAAACAAACAAACAAACAAACAAAAAACACACAACTGTCACACGAGGGCATGCAAAACTCACTGCACTTGCTATCAATAAAAAAGTGGGTATTCCAGCCCGGCTGGTGTTGCTCAGTGGTTGAACATCAAGCTATGAACCAGGAGTCATGGTTCCATTTCTGATCAGGGCACATGCCCAGGTTGCAGGTTTGACCCCCAATGAAAGGTGGCAGGAGGCAGCTGATCCATGAT